ACTCCTTATTTCGTTTATATTTGCATAAAAACGACATTGTAAACTATCATCTCTGATTCGATTTTTGAGGTGCATCCGTGGTTACTATAAAAGTTTTTTCCATCAAGTAAAACCGAAAACCATTTCCTGATATTACCCTAAGCGCATTTCTACATAAACAGTTTGTCCATGTAGGTCGTCGACTTTCAACCAGATGGGGTCATAGGTTCCAATCGTGAGTGGAACCAGAGGTCTTTGGTCAAACATATGAACTTATTAGCTAATTTGCGGGAATCCACATAATTGATAAGTCATATTAACAACGATACAACGAAGGCATGTTGAAAGGGGTCATAGATCGTGTAAGTAATGCAAATGCCGCTAATATAGAGAAAGACAAGATACAAAAATAACGGTCATATCAGAATACACTTCTGCTACGTTGAACTCACGTGTTTATGCAGAATACAAAAGAAAGATGAGGTAGGACAGTCACTGACTTTGACGCTAGGCCACAACTGACATTATTTTAGAGTCAAACCATGAGATCAGAATATACATTAAGCCAAACTTTTCGCAACTAGACAGTCCCAGCACACCATGACCGCTATGAGGGTAGGTGGGATGGAATTCATTAAACATGTCATACCAAAGACGCTGCTTTGTTAAGTTAACGTTATTTGACAAAAATCGATCACTAGTACACCTACCACTTTACCTGTGCGCTATGTAACTGTAAACCCAATCTGTAGTAGGATGTTTACCACGACAATTATTATTATTATTATTAGTCCCTTGGGTTCCTAGTGGAACATAGGGCTTCACTAGCACGTCTCCAGTACACTCTGTTCTCTGAGATCTTTTGAACCTGGTCCCACGACAGCCCACAAGCTCTCATTTCCTCCTCGCATGACCTCCTCCATGTCACCCTTGGACGTCCAACTCGTCGCTTCCCATGGGGATTCCACTCGAGTACCTGGCCTGACGCGTCATGTCCTCAGTCGACCTTCTCAGTGCATGTCCAATCCATCTCCACTTCCTTACAGTGCATATTTGTTGGGTGATAGGTTCTTGCTTCGTTGCTTCGTTCCCAGAGCTCCTTGTTGCTTATTCTTTCTGGCAATCCATCTGATCTTCAGTAGCGAGCGTAAGCAGTTGTTGATGAATGTCTGTAGTTTATTGGAAATCCCTTTCGTGACGCGCCAAGTCTCTGAGCCATACAGAAGCACTGACTTGACGTTGGTGTTGAAAATCTGTATCTTGCTCCGCATGCTGAGTGCAGAAGATCTCCACACTGGTTTCAGGCTAATGAACGAAGGCCTGTCTTGCTTTTCCGATTCTGACTTTGACATCCTCGTCTGTGCCAACGCTGCATGCAGTTGCAACACTGCTTCCTAGATAGGTGAAGGAGGTTACTTCCTTTAAGTTTCTCCGGTGATGGTCATTGGAGTTTGTTGTTGGTGGTGGTGGTAGTGCGGTATCTTCATCACCTCTGTCTTCTCTATATTCACTTGAAGTCCCGTCTTCGCTGCCTCTTCTATCAACTTGTTAGTTTTCGCCTGTACATCTTCAAGTTTATGTGACATCAGGCACAAGTCATCGGCGAAATCCAAGTCTTCTAGGTTCTTTTCCCCATTCCAGTGTATCCCCCTCTTCTCGCTCCCCACTGTTGTCTGCTGCATGATCCAGTCCACCACAATCAGGAATATCATGGGGGATAGTAGGCAACAGCCTCCTTTCACTCCTGTCTTCACTTCAAAATCATCACTGAGCTGAGCTTCCCATTGTGAATTACTTGGCATGTGGTGTCTTCATATAGTTGTTGAATGAGGTGGATAAAGGTTTGCGGTATTCCGTAGTAGTGAAGCAGTTTCCAAATTACTTCTCGGTCGACGCTGTCAAAGGCCTTCTCAAAGTCGATGAAGTTGAGGTAGAGAGCTGATTGCCATTCTATGCCCTGTTCTATGATGATGCGAAGCGTTGCAATTCGGTCTGCACATGATTTGTACTTCCTGAATCCAGCCAGCCAGCCTGTTCCGGTCGTGGTTTCGAATCCAGTGCATTTTTAAGCCTCTCCAGGATGATGCAGCTTAATATTTTACTTGGGGTGGACAGGAGAGTGATTCCACGCCAGTTCTTGCAAACACTGAGGTCTCCCTTCTTCGGCAGTTTGACAAGGTAACCCTTCTTCCAATCACTAGCCAGGTACCTTCTCTTCCTTCCACACCTTCTGTAATAGTGGTGTGAGCATGTCCGCTGCTGTTGTCTCTGCGTCTGTTCTCAGTGCTTCTGGCGGGCTCCCGTCTGATCCTGTTGCTTTCCCGCATTTCAGCAGCTTTATGGCGTTCAGGACTTCCATTTTCGTTGGAGGACTTATGTTCACTTGTAATTCAGTGGCTGCAGGTGGTATTTTTGGACGAAGTGCAGGTGGTGGTGGTGGTCGATTCAAGAGCTTCTTGAAGTGGTCGGCCCATCGTTTCCTCTGTTTCTCTTCTTTCGTAACTAAATTTCCTTCTTCATCTTTTATTGGTTTCATCTGTGTTGATCTCTTCCCTGATAGCAACCTGGTTATTTGATACAATGTTGTCAGGTCTCTCTCACCTGCAGCCTGTTCTGCTTCACTTCCCAGTGTTTCGTAGAAGTGTCTTTTGTCTTTCCGTGTACTCTTCTTTACTTCTTTGTTCAGTGTTTTATACATTGTGCTCAGTTCCTCTTGTCGTTGAGCGTCCTTGCACTGGTTTATCTTCTGTTTCACCATCCTCCTCTCCTCTATCAGCTTCCAGGTATCCGTCGAGATCCATTCCTCGTCTTCCATCTTCTTCCTTCCTAATACGACTGTGCAGGTTTCTTTCCACATAGCTTTCAAAGACTTCCAGTGTTCTTCCACACAGGTTTATTCAGGGATGTTCCTCAATATCTCCCATTTTGTCTTGATGGCTGCCATGAAGATCTCCTTTGTAGTTTCATCCTTCAGTTTCCGAGTGTGGTACTTCAATTGAGGTCTATCACCAACTTCCTTGAAGACTTTTAACTTGATTTGGAAGGTTCCTTGCACTAGACAGTGAGTGGTCTGAACCTACATCTGCTCCTCTTCTTGACCTTGTGTCAAGTAGACGGCGTCTCCATTTTCTTGAGATTGAGATAAAGTCGATTTGATTTTTAGTGTGTCCATCTACTGAAGTCGAATCCATGTCGCTTTGTGGATATGTTTGTGCCTGAACACACTGCCTCCAATTACCAAGTCGTTGAATGCACAGAATTCTGCAAACAATTCTCCATTCTCGTTCATCACCTCACCTAGAGCCTCTCGACCCATGGTTAGTTCTCTTCCTGTGTTGTCCCCTCCCAGTTTGGCATTCATGTCGCCCATTAGGATTTTGATATCGCCAACTGACGTCTTGTCCAGTGTTGATTGCAGTTGTCTGTAGAATTCCTCCTTTTTCTCTTGCTCTGCATTATTTGTAGGTGCGTAGCGTAGCATTGTATGATTGTGACCTTCCTTCCTTTTGAGTTGAATCTTGCTGTCATGATCCTGATACTGGAGGAGGTTGGTTTTCACTGCATGAGAGCCTTCAATGCTCTTGAAGATATCTTGATAGCCACTCCATAACTCAGTGTGCTGTGCTCGTGGTTGTCGTCTGGGTAACAATATCGGGGTAGATTATTGATTCTCCAGTTGACAGTTTGGAGATTCCACTCCCATTCCATCTGCTTTCGCAGATCCCAAGCACTTCAGTGTGATACCTTCTCATCTCCTTTGCAATCTGGGTTGCCGTACTGGGTTCAAACATCGTACGGACATTCCATGTCCCCACGTTTACTTTCGCTTTCATCGAGGGAGAGAAGACAGATCGGCCAATTGGCTTCCCGAAGGCTTTCACCAACTGGCGTGATTTCGCCTCTCTGATTCCAGCGAGGAATAGGTTTGTTTTCATTTTTTATATCTTGTTTGTGCTTTGAAGTTTCTTTAGCGGTTAGATTTGTTTTAGGGGGTAGGGTTGCTAGCCCTATGCCCAACCTTCCCTCTTTACCCGGGCTTAGGACCGGCTAGTAACTAGTGAACTAGTTAACCAGGCGAGGTTATTATGTTAACTGTGCAAACAATAGTAATACCTACATTTATTCACTTTCGTCGAGGGGGAAAACTTATTGTAATTTCATCTGGGTTGAAAATGAAGGCCATGGGACTGAGAAGCATTCGAACGAACGTCTCTATATGCATGAATGAGAGGTAAAAATTTTGGCTTCTATTGCCTTTGTTATGCTTATTAGTCGAAAGCATGAAAGTAGAGTATTGGAATAGCACTGTTTATAATATGGTAAAGATAACTTTTACCGATCTCTGGAGGTTCATATTAAATTGTAATCGTAAAAGAAGCAAGTGATAATAACAGCAGTCCTGATGGTTCCCCTTTAAAATCTTAATGCTTTTCTAGTATCCACTTGATGTCCAATGTCAACTAATTGTGAACATATAGGACTCTTTATTGTTCCATTTGTCTCTTGCTCAACCATGATGGGTGGTGCTCAAGAATTTGACGATGTACCTGCCTCATTGTACGCCCAATGTAACTAGCTCCACAGGAGTAGTTGAACTGATAAATGCAGATGGAAGTGGCAAAATCAGGCAGTATGTCTTTATTTCTTGCACCTAGAATCGGGTGGGTGTACAAGATGGGACATAATTAACCGACTGGGAATGCTTTTTGCCAAGCTTTTTTTATGTGTTGTGTAATTATCTCACTAGTAATATCACTCTTGAATTTCAGCTTCAAGTAGATTTCAAATTCAAGAGTAACACTGCTAGTGAGACCATCACGCAACGCATAAAAAGGGCCTCACAAAAAATATTCGCAGCCGCTTAATTATGTCACATCTACAATTTCATCACCGCCTAAGTAGGCTATCGACAGCGTACTTAAAGGTAGGGAATCTGTACATAAACGTGCTTTTATTAGTGCAGAAATCAGTCAAAAAGGTTTTCACTAATTTCACATTATTTGAATGTTTTCGTTGCTTGCAGGTATTGACAGACTCGTATTACGCTGTAAGTCAAGGTGCTTTGGCTTGTGAATGTCGTCAAACGATGCTTTTATTTTGGATTTACTATCTCGCATTCATAATGAGTCAGCTGCGTTGACGTCCATTGCCGAGCGAAGTTTAATGCGCCAACTTGATGGTGGTTGTTCTATCCCAATTTCTGTCCGCAGTTATCTTTCAGAAAACGATTCTAAGCTAACTCTTCACGCAAATATCCTGAGTATCGATGGTGTAGAGAGTGTAGAAGGATGTGCAGCTGCTGTTTTACCCAAAACGGCACCTGTAAATCGAGACTCTACAGAACTCTTAAATTCGGGTGAACATAACGGGGAGATTGGTCGGAATGCATCACTTATTGAGAATAATATGACGTTGGTGTCAACTGCAACTGAAGTAAGTTGCCTATATACCCATTGTGTATCATTGAGGGGGCGTTATCGTTTCATCCCATGAAATACGTCTTTTAGAAATGAATTCAGGCAGGATTCTTGGACATTCTGTCTGGTTTGTTTGTGGTTTTATTCGTAACTTCTGGACGCTCAGTACCAAAAGTCGCTAGTTTAAATCCTGTCGTGAACCAGGTTTTCACCTCAGAGTAAATCATCACTTTAATACTTAATCTCACTGTGTAAAATAATGACTTTAGACCTAAGGTTGAACTTTTGCTGTTAAATAAACTGGTGCGTAGCTAAATTAAAGTTTTCCCAGAAGCTGCTTAACATCTTTTCGATTTTCAAAAAGATGACTACTAGTCAGTCCAAAACATCTACCTTTCTGTCCTACAAACTTCTATCACTGTATTGGGACAACAAAATCAATAAAAATCGTAGGATAGTTCTGACTTGTGCTCTGCTATCATTCTTGCAGCGTGATGGAACTACCAATACTTAATTACTTTATTTCCGGACAAATCACCTCTCTCAGCGTAAGGAGCCGGACATTGATTCCATGACTTGTTAATTTAGGTTCTTGATATCTGATCTGTAAGTCATCTGATCGAATTCCAATCCACCAGCTATGGTTTAGGAAGCTAGTCATTATCATTAATTCACATAATGGATGCAGTTGATTTCCTAGTGAACAATTCTACACATGGCTACTGTATTGAACTAGCAGGACGTTTCTCCTGCCCTCATAAATAACCCATTTCTGGCCTATAAGCTTGAACTGCTTTTGGTAGAGACAATATGTCCAAAAGTATACCAAACTTCAAGATTATTGTGAAGTTGTTTTTTTAGATCCCAAAATGTGACCCCAAAACGTTATTATTTTAATGATACGCTCAGATGGCAAGTATTTGATTATGGTTGTCTTAAAATCACTATCATAAGGCAGAACCGATTAGTCAACAGCAGTCATATTAAGTAATGGTGATAGTAGGTGGTTGGGGTTTAGGCTACATTTATCTTGTTAAGACCTATTGACATTCAGTTTTTACAGGAATAGGATAAGGAAAAGCTACAGTCTTGTTGGACTGAGATATGACACTCGTCTAGGAAGTACTTTACTGTTTGTCTGAAGTATAAAGAAGACTTTGTGCTTTTTGGTTGAGATCTGTGTGAGAACCAGCATCAATTGTTGATGATAAGTTCAGATGAATCGAAGTCGACTGCAACTGTGCAGTTTATTTTCAATCTTTCTTCGTTTCTTTTCGTCTCCAGCGCCTTTTCGTATTTGTACTAATATTACCATTGTTTTAGTATATTGTTGCTGGTGCGAAGTATACCAGCTTCGATCTGAAGGTAATTGTATCATGTTGTACGTTGTTGTTTTCTGTATGCGTGACTATATTATGTCTTTAAACTTAGCTCAAGCTTCAGTAACCGTCGAACTGTCGAATTTATCTTCTAGTTTTGACCATATCTTAGTCTCGTTACCTCATTCAGGTGGACGAAATACAGATTATTTTTGCCATTATTTGCCCTTCTTCAACACCTGTCTTTTTCTAAGTTTACTGTATCCACTGCCTACTTCGACCTATGATGCTGGTTGAACTAGGACTGGTTTACAAGACAGTTAAAGGCGATCACTTCTTGAAATCTTTGATTATGAGTTTGAGCTGTGTAGGGAGATACATAGCACTTGATCAGCGTTTACGTTGCGTTAGAAATCAAAGGTTAGTGAATTCATGATACGGCTGAAAATCTATCACAGTAGCGTAGATGTTTACACACTCTTTGTTATCTTTTAAAATTGTGAATGTATTCACTAACTTTCATCTACTCATCCTTTCCCCTCTCATGCTCTTTTTCCTGTCTCAGTGTAATTATTTTTCTGCTTATCTTTTGGTGTACTGCTATTAAGTGTGACAACTTGAAATGAATCCACTTTTGTGCCCGTTTCTTTACGTAAGTTACTGTATATCTATCTGGTTTAACACACTAGTTTTATTGGAGCTATAAGTTGATAAATGTTTTAAACTGTTTGATTGGTTACTGAAGTTAGAGGATGACTGCTATAGTTATGGAAATACCGGGTATTCTATATTTAGGGCTTTGTTTTTTTTCACAGACATCATCCTAATATTTAGCAAAATCAAATTAAACTGTTACTTCATTTTTGTAATTCATCATTTGATTTTTTGGATTAGTGTTATGATTTGTTGGCGGTAACTTATTATTGTCGCAAATGATTTCTAACCCTTTTCTAATATTTTATAAACTTCAAAATCAAAATTTGACCTCAGGTGTATTTCATTTATAACCCTTTTCTAATAGTTTCTTACTATGTAACATCTAGATAGCACTGTTAAACCATCACCCGCTGTACTAAACTGTGCATGTTTACTGAGTTACTTATCTTATTATTTTCCCCCCTTCGTCTACAGAATGAATTAAAAGCAGCATCAGATCCATCATCTGTGTTTATGGGAGTTATGGTGACTCCAATATCTGAAGTTTCACGTCTTAGAATGGCTATTTCTCGAAGTTTGGGTTCTGTGGTGGGAAACAACCTTCGTATGGCCGGCGGTGATAAAATTCTTCATGAAATACGTTCGCAGTCCAGTGGGCATATGTCGCATGAATATAATCTTACTTCGTCTAAATAGCTGCGATATTATGTACTTCTTTTCGTTTCCTTTTATTGAATGACTTATGGTTACATGCATTTTCAGCCGTTTAAGTAGCGTTATTGTACTTCATAATCGTCTGTATATTTTCGTATCAGGCTATTTCCCAAACTATAACACTTCACCGTTATATGTAAATAGTTTAGTGAAAATATTTATTTTCAATCATAGGTCTTAGTTTATCTCTTACTCTGAAAAATGTATGTTTGTCGAAATTAAAAATACTTGTGACTTAAATACATATGCAGATAGTTGCATTTTAAAATTTTCACTTGAATGCCTGTTTATTATATATATATATATATATATATATATATATATATATATATATATATATATGTATATGTATATGGTATTTCCTTAAGTTTTGCTTCGAAATTTATTGAGGACGTGTACTATTTTTAACCAATTGCTTCTTAACTTAGTTTTTCGTGCCTAAAAATCTCTTATCAACTGAAAATTTCCATAGACTTTCCTAAAGACGTCATACGCTGTTCTACTTCAAATACGGATATGCTATCATAATATGGTCTTACTCTTAAATGTTTTTCAAGTTAGAATTTCACATACTAATAGTCTACTTGAATCTCTGAAAGAGGTGGTGAAAATATCGGTTTATAAACTGTGAAGACGATTATATTAATCTCATGTTAATTAATTACAATTTCATAGATAAGGAAGAAAATTTGTAGCCCAGGTTGAAGATCAGAGCGATTGGTTCATCTATGAGCTTTGATATTTGATTGTAAATTTTTCGTCACCAGGCTTCATGACATAATTCATGCTAACTACGTTCCTCGCTTCTTCATCAAGTTAGTCCTGATGCTGCACAAAAAGTGTTCATAAGAGGTTTGCGATCAGAACTCTACGAACATCAAAAATTTGTCGCAATTCTTTCTATAGAAAACCCTATGAACACGATAGTATGTCGCAGAAAGTCGAAAAATCGCATCAGTGTAAAACAGTCAGTTATTATTCAAGATAAACTACACCTTGCCTCTGTGTATGGAAGATTTTTGCACCATTGGAACAAATTCGTCATTCACTGCTTAACACTGAACGGAGAACATTCACGAATGCTTTGCAAAGCTTTTACCCACAGATTTCTGCAAAGCACTTGTTGAACTTACGCAACAGTTTTCAATAGCAAGAGACATGTCATAGGTAATAGTGTATAGTCTTCTCCCGCCATATTGCGTGATTTTCTGCTTTGATCTTTCTTCCGGTTTTTTCAGTATTCATCATGTATGTTCTTCATAGCCTGCCATCACTTTACAAGGCATCGTAGCTAATAGCGTATACTTGAGCGACTGTCTTACGAATCAGCAATATAGCTACTTTTCCTGCAGTATGCTGTTTCAGTATCATAATATGGATGAAAAGCAGTTAGCTTTTTACGCCTGTGTCCTCAGTGGAATAAAATGCAGTGGTATTTTATTCTTTTGCTTGCTTAACATCCTCTATGAATGCGGGTTTGTGTGGAACAAAATGCTAAACTTTTTTTTTAAATTGCACTTTCCGCAGGTTGGATATGTTTAACACACTAAAATAAGTAAAACATTTTGGAAACTTGCAACGTGCGTTTGAAGTGAGTTCTTTAATAAACCTTTTGATATTTATCCTATGCTCTTCAGTTTCTGTTGTTAAACTTCTTTTTCATGCAGTTATTAAAACAGATGCCTAATGTAGTTTGTAATGAGTTGTACCTTCAAATAAATTCTCATTAACCTCAAAATGCATTAGTTCATATTGTTTCACAGTTAAAATGGTGTCTGTTAATTATTCACGTAATTCCTAGACACCATATCGTGCCTCGAACACAGTTTACTCTGTTTTTATTTAATCCTAAGCTTTATTTCCGAGTGTATTGCACAGAGAGATTTTGGGTTCCACTCACAAGTGGTCACAAATATTCACTTTTAGTTGAAATGCATTTTTAAGATTTTTGTGAGTTTTATACAGGAATTAATATAAATCTTTTCAAAATTTAAGAAGGTAGGGAATGAACTGAATTTTTCTCAATAAGTATAATGTCTTGCTGATAGATGTTGATAGATGTATAAAAGGTAACTCACAAATAGATTGCTTAACCACTTTAAAACTGAATGTTGAGTACCATTTATCAGATGAGTGCTATACCCTAGAAGTTTGACTCATTGATGCAGATATTGTGTGTCATATTTTTCTACATATAACCTGTTCATTGGTTGAAATGCAGCTCTGCAGTTCCTAAATTGGACATTTTACCGGGTTAGCATCTGTTGATGCATCGCGACTCCTTGGGTGGGATCCAAGAGACCACGCAACTCAGTGGTTTGAGACGTTATCAGATATGGCTGAGAATCCAAACCAGTGATGGTGATGCTGTAGCTTCCTTCTATCTTCTGCCTCTGGAAAGTAATGAATGTTTTGTTTTGAATGTATCTTGTTGAACTGCCCTTCTGATCATTCTGTTCTTTTTATTTATCCACTTCCTTCCGCTTTATGTCTTCATAGTGTCATGGCATCTTATGTAGCGCATTTCTTGTTACCCTTGGTGTATCATGTTTGTATTCTAATGAATAATAATAATGTGCAGATATGTGTGACAAATACCCTATTGAATCCCTTAACATGTAATCTGCTAAATTTCATAAAGGAATTAATGTAAATGCATAAAACAGGGAGTCTCGTGTCAACTTGCATATAAATGTTGTTCCATTATACCCAATGAACAGTACAACAAAAATAAACGCATCCTTATTGATACTGTTTGGGGGTATTAAGTAAATGATGAATAACTAGTAACAATTGAAACTTTTACTTCTAGCCTCATTATTTAAAACTGTTTGATTTAGCATGTATAAGTATGGCCTATCAATTGTCTTGTATAGAAGAATGCTTATTCGTTTCGCCAGCTGCTGCTACATAAGCAGAAGCCAAAATATAGATTTTAGCAACTTTATCTATACATGCTATATACTAGTCCAGAGAATGCTTTTCTAAATTCCAGACGACCAGTGTATTCCTGAATACACTTTATCTATGTTTTTTTGTTGCAATTGGATTTTTGTTGTGATTTCTTCTACTTTTGCGAACTTCATAACGAAAGTCAAGTAAGTCTAAGCATATGAGTGTGGTCAAAGACTGTACTGTTTCCAACATCCTAGTATATTTCTAAATTGTAATCAGTAATCGTTTGGATTGATTTGTCAGATGACATAATACGTAGTGATATAAAAAATTAGGGATATTCATCTGCTTTGATTCTTCCCCTAGGTGGATGTAGTTCCCCACAAGTCATATGTCCCCCAATATTCGGTTTCTATGTGCGTGAGTAAATCTTTGAGGTTGAGAATAATTAGTTCGCCGTTCAAGCTGTAAAACATGCTGTGAAATTGCTCATAAAGTACAAAAAAGGTAGCGCACTAAGGTACAATTTTACATCTTCCAGTACTCCAGTCCAAGCATCTGTCGTTGCACTGCTAATTGATTTTCCCGCTAGATTTCAATGTCTCTGGAGTTACAGTAGCACTGTTTGGCGTTCCTTTTTAACTACATTCACTGGATATTGCAAGAGCAAGTGTAATACTCTTTTACTGCATTTGTTGTTTCAGGAAACGTCATATTTTACAAGGCTATATCTCCTTCAACCTCGCCTGGTTAACTAGTTCACTAGCTACTAGCCGGTCCTAAGCCCGGGTAAAGAGGGAAGGTTGGGCATAGGGCTAGCAACCCTACCCCCTAAAACAAATCTAACCGCTAAAGAAACTTCAAAGCACAAACAAAATATAAAAAATGAAAACAAACTTATTCCTGGCTGGAATCGGAGAGGCGAAATGACGCCAGTTGGTGAAAGCCTTCGGGAAGCCAATTGGCCGGGCCGATGTGTCTTCTCTCGATGAAAGCGAAAGTAAACGTGGGGACATGGAATGTCTGTACGATGTTTGAACCCAGTAAGGCAGCCCAGATTGCAAAGGAGATGAGAAGGTATCACATTGAAGTGCTTGGGATTTGCGAAAGCAGATGGAATGGGAGTGGAGTCTCCAAACTGTCAACTGGAGAATCAGTAATCTACCCCGATATTGTCACCCAGACGACAACCACGAGCACACTGAGGGAGTGGCTATCATGATGTTCCCAACAGCATCGAAGGCTCTCATGCAGTGAAAACCAACCTCCTCCAGTATCAGGATCATGACAGCAAGATTCAACTCAAAAGGAAGGAAGGTCACAATCATACAATGCTACGCTACGCACCTACAAATAATGCAGAGCAAGAGAAAAAGGAGGATTTCTACAGACAACTTCAATCAACACTGGACAAGACGTCAGTTGGCGATATCAAAATTCTAATGGGCGACATGAATGCCAAACTGGGAGGGGACAACACAGGAAGAGAACTAACCATGGGTCGAGAGGCACTAGGTGAGGTGATGAACGAGAATGGAGAATTGTTTGCAGAATTCTGTGCATTCAACGATTTGGTGATTGGAGGCAGCGTGTTCAAGCACAAAGATATCCACAAAGCGACATGGATTCGACTTCAGTAGATGGACACACTAAAAATCAAATCGACTTTATCTCAATCTCGAGAAAATGGAGACGCAGTCTACTTGACACAAGGTCAAGAAGAGGAGCAGATGTAGGTTCAGACCACTCACTGTCTAGTGCAAGGAACCTTCCAAATCAAGTTAAAAGCCTTCAAGGAAGCTGGTGATAGACCTCAATTGAAGTACCACACTCGGAAACTGAAGGATGAAACTACAAAGAAGATCTTCACGGCAGCCATCAAGACAAAATGGGAGATATTGAGGAACATCCCTGAATAAACCTGTGTGGAAGAACACTGGAAGTCTTTGAAAGCTATGTGGAAAGAAACCTGCACAGTCGTATTAGGAAGGAAGAAGGTGGAAGACGAGGAATGGATCTCGACAGATACCTGGAAGCTGATAGAGGAGAGGAGGATGGTGAAACAGAAGATAAACCAGTGCAAGGATGCTCAACGACAAGAGGAACTGAGCACAATGTATAAAACACTGAACAAAGAAGTAAAGAAGAGTGCACGGAAAGACAAAAGACACTTCTACGAAACACTAGGAAGTGAAGCAGAACAGGCTGCAGGTAAGAGAGACCTGACGACATTGTATCAAATAACCAGGTTGCTATCAGGGAAGAGATCAACACAGATGAAACCAATAAAAGATGAAGAAGGAAATTTAATTACGAAAGAAGAGAAACAAAGGAAGCGATGAGCCGACCACTTCAAAAAGCTCTTGAATCGACCACCAGCACCACCACCTGCACTTCGTCCAGAAATACCACCTGCAGCCACTGAATTACAAGTGAACATAAATCCTCCAACGAAAATGGAAGTCCTGAACGCCATAAAGCTGCTGAAATGCGGGAAAGCAACAGGATCAGACGGGATACCGCCAGAAGCACTGGGAACAGACGCAGAGACAACAGCAGCGGACATGCTCACACCACTATTGCAGAAGGTGTGGAAGGAAGATTAGGAAGAAGGGTTACTTTTTCAAACTGCCGAAGAAGGGAGACCTGAGTGTTTGCAAGAACTGGCGTGGAATCACTCTCCTGTCCACCCCAAGCCAGTAAAATATTAAGCCGCATCATCCTGGAGAGGCTTAAAGATACACTGGATTCAAAACTACGACCGGAACAGGCTGGCTGGCTGGATTCAGGAAGTACAAATCATGTGCAGACCAAATTGCAACGCTTCGCATCATCATAGAACAGAGCATAGAATGGCAATCAGCTCTCTACGTCAACTTCATCGACTTTGAGAAGGCCTTTGACAGCGTCGACCGAGAAGTAATTTGGAAACTGCTTCACTACTACGGAGTACCGCAAACCTTTATCCACCTCATTCAACAACTATATGAAGATGCCACATACCAGCCAAGTAATTCACAATGGGAAGCTCAGCTCAGTGATGATTTTGAAGTGAAGACAGGAGTGAAACAAGGTTGCCTACTATCCCCCATGATATTCCTTATTGTGGTGGACTGGATCATGCAGCAGACAACAGTGGGGAGCGAGAAGAGGGGGATACACTGGAATGGGGAAAAGAACCTAGAAGACTTGGATTTCGCCGATGACTTATGCCTGATGTCACATAAACTTGAAGATGTACAGGCGAAAACTAACAAGTTGATAGAAGAGGCAGCGAATATGGGAATTCAGGTGAATGTAGAGAAGATAGAGGTGATGAAGATACCGCACCAAAAACTCCAACAACAACAACAAACTCCAATGACCATCACCGGAGAAACTTAAAGGAAGTAACCTCCTTCACCTATCTAGGAAGCACTATTTCAACTACAGGCGGGACGGACGAGGATGTCAAAGTCAGAATCGGAAAAGCAAGACAGGCGTTCATTAGCCTGAAATCAGTGTGGAGATCTTCTGCACTCAGCATGCGGAGCAAGATACAGATTTTCAACACCCACGTCAAGTCAGTGCTTCCATGTGATGGTTGAGAGACTTGGCGCGTCACGAAAGGGATTTCCAATAAACTACAGACATTCATCAACAACTGCCTACGCTTGCTGGTTACTGAAGATCAGATGGATTGCCAGAAAGAATAAGCAACAAGGAGCTCTGGGAACGAAGCAACGAAGCAAGAACCTATCACCCAACAAATATGCACTGTAAGGAAGTGGAGATGGATTGGGAAGGCACTGAGAAGGTCGACTGAGGACATGACGCGTCAGGCCAGGTACTCGAATGGAATCCCCATGGGAAGCGACGAGTTGGATGTCCGAGGGTGACATGGAGGAGGTCGTGCGAGGAGGAAATGAGAGCTTGTGGGCTGTCGTGGAGCCAGGTTGAAAAGATCTCAGAGAACAGAGTGTACTGGAGACGTGCTAGTGAAGCCCTATGTTCCACTAGGAACCCAAGGGACTAATAACAATAATAATAATAATAATAATAATAATAAAAATATATCCTTCAGTCACTCCTTATTTCATTCATATTTGCATAAAAACGACATTGTAAACTATCAGCTCTGATTTCGATTTTTGAGGTGCATCCGTGGTTACTATAAAAGTTTTTTCCATCAAGTGAAACCGAAAACCGTTTCCTGATATTACCCTAAGCGCATTTCTACATAAACAGTTTGTCCATGTAGGTCGTCGACTTTCAACCAGATGGGGTCATAGATTCCAATCGTGAGTGGAACCAGAGGTCTTTGATCAAACATATGAACTTATTAGCTAATTTGCGGGAATCCACATAATTGATAAGTCATATTAACTAAAAAGCTGTGTACTATCAGCATTAATTTGGCAGCCGAACTTGTAACATCGTTTAGTTTTGTACAAACTAAGTGATTGAAAATGAGGTAGGTCATTATTCAACTCTTCTGGAAATTAGAGGATAGGCGGATATGCTACTCATGGATTCAAGTGTTTCTTGGTTTGCTGTATAAGATGGAGTCTGTCAACACAGGACGACAGCATTACAACCCAGTGTTACAGGTTGCCACGTGCGACATCAGCTCAAAAGATAACTGGTAAGAAGATGAAAAGGCACCAGAAAACTAGGGTGAAGGGTAACGAAATTGTAGCAATATAACCAAATTCCATACAAAACCATAAAGTGAAACGAGGAGGAGTTAAAT